AGTAATTAAAAAGCTATTCAAAGTTCATGAATATTTATTATTAATTTTAGTCCGTGAGTATAAAGAATATTTATTAAGTATTTAAAATAAGCTATTCAAGTTAATGTATATTTACTATTTAATTTCGTTCTATTTGCGTTAATTTTAGCGGGTAAGTATAAAGGACTAAATATTTAAAACAAGCTATTCAAGTTCATGCTCTTCACGTTCATATTTGTTTTCATTTTATTCACGTTAATTTAGGAAGTGAGTGTAAAAACATTTATTAATCTAAGTAATTAAAAATAAGTTATTCAAAATTCATGGATATTTAAATATTTTATTCGCATTAATTAGACCGTGAGTATAAATTCTAAATATTTAAAATAACTATTCAAGTTCATGAATATTTACTATTTAATTCGTTTATTTGCGTTAATTTAGTTCGTGAGTATAAAGAACATTTAGTAATATAAATATTTAAAATAAGTTATTCAAGTTCATGAATACTTCCTATTTAATTTTATTTTAGAGTGTGAGTATAAAAAAAACATTTATTTAACAAATTAAAAATGAAATCGGATTAAAATGAAATATAAACTAACTTTAATATGAAAATACATGTCGTAAATTTTTGGAGTTAATTTTCTTGGCATTATTTTTTGAGGTTTGAATAGAATTTGGGGTATATTTAGTAACAAAAAGTATATGGTGGGGTTTAAGGTTAAATAGAATTACCAATTGATTTTAATCTGATTTCATTTTAATCTAAGTATTTAGATAAGTTATTCAAATTACTACTTAATTAATTTTAGACTGTGAGTATACTAATCTAGACATTTAAAATAAGCTATTCAAGTTCATGGATATTTGCGATTTAATTTCATTTTATCCGTGCAAATTTAGTTTGAGTATAAAGAACATTATTAATCTAAGTATTATTTAAAATAAGCTATTCTGTTTATAATAATTACTACTTAATTTATTCTGTTAATTTAGTGAGTGAGTATAAGAACATTTATTTAATCTAAGTATTAAAATAAGCTATTCATGTTTATGTGTTTATGAATGTTTACTATTTTATTCGCCTAATTAGTCGGTAAGCATGAAAATACTTATTAAAATCGTCGCATTAATAATTTGAAATAACTTCTAAAAATGTAAAGCAATTGATAATTTGAAGATATTCTTTCCAAGGAAAATGTGCACATTGCAATGAATATAACACGAATGAAGCATGGTGTCAGGCATGTGATCCTGACATAACAATTCAAGGTTGGACAAGTAGAAATAAGAAGATTGATGATTTTATAAAAGGGTTTCAACTTAGAGCATGGAGGTATGAAAAGACGATTGAATGGATTCCATTTGACAGACTAAATAATATTAAAAAAATTGGCCAAGGAGGATTTGGTTCTGTATTTTCTGCGACCTGGTTGGATGGTATACGGGAAAGAAAAGGCATTGTGAGAATACGTAAACCATTTAGCACAGTTGCACTCAAAACCTTGTCTGATTCTAATAAAAATTCTCACGATTTTTTGAAAGAAGTAAGTTAAATCATTATTCATCGTATAGTTTATTAAACACATATTAAAACTAATTTATTTACATAAATTTACAAAGTTTGAAAATAATGTGAAATGTAATTATGTATGGGGTAGTAAGCTCCAAATATATGGATTAACTCAAAACACAGAAACAAGTGAATACTTGATGGTATTTCAATATGCAGATAGTGGAAGTCTTTATAAGTTTTTAAGATCAAATTTTCAAGATCTTACCTGGCCGACTAAATTAAATTTACTTAGAGATATTTCATATGATTTACAGCAAATTCATAAAGCAGGATATATTCATTCAGACTTTCACAGTGGTAATATTTTGCAAGATAAAGGCATTAGTAAGAGTATACAATCTTATATTTCAGATCTAGGATTGTCTAAAGAGAAAGATAAAAATGAATCAGAAAGTTGTATTTATGGAGTCATGCCTTATGTCGCACCAGAGGTTTTATCAGGTCAAAAGTTAACAACAGCTGCAGATATTTATGGATTTGGAGTCATAATGTCAGAGATGTCAACTGGACAAAGACCTTTTGATGGTTGTAAATTTGATGATGAACTTGCTGTAAATATTTGCTTTGGATTACGGCCTGAATTTGCTCCTGGTACTCCTGATTGTTATATTGATTTAGCTATTCAATGTATGGATTCTGATCCACAAAAACGGCCTACTGCTGTAGATGTTTTTAATAAACTTTGCAAATGGAATGAAATCATGGATGACTCGTATAAAGATAATTATCGTAATAATCTAAGTGACTATGATGCGAATGAATTTAAAAAGAAATTCTTAGATGCCGATAAAGTAGTCAAAGAATTGCCAGTTATCTCACCAAAACATCCTGATTTCATGTACACTAGCAAAATTATCGACACTCAAAGAATATCAGCAATTCAAGGTATTTATTTTAAAAATTACACGATATCAACTATCCATTTAAAACCAATTATGCTTATATTAGCAACTTTACGAAGTAAACCTATCGATCTCGTTGAAATTCCTCTTGGTAAATACTATATTAAATTTACTAATTTATAATTAAACAAATTTACAGTATTACTTATTTTATATTGGTATTTAGATGATTGATTTAATTGCAATTATTGTTACAATTATCTAATTCTTATTAGAAAAATATAAATTTTAATACTACTTCTTTTACTTTTTCAATATTTAATATTATATTTTTGTATATTTCTGATAAATTTGAAAGTATATATGCAAATATAAATTTCTATAGTCTGGTTGGTTTGAATAGCTGCTTGTATTATATTTATTAGAAATGTTTTTGTTGCTATTTTGTGTAATATTTGTTTTTAAAAATTTTGTACATATATAAACCTGTTTTTTTTTTTCATTAATTAATAATTTCTTGTTATCTGGCATGATGTGGAGGATACATGGGTATTCGGCAGGATGATAGCCGTATCCGTCACATCATGCCAGATAACATTATGAGACATCATTATGCATAATTTTTTTTGTAAATAGGTCACAAACACAATTACAGGTTTGTGATTGTCGTTTTGAGTGCTTAATTTCTATTTTAAGGTTAAATAAAACAGATAGGTTCGGCACATTCTAAAAATGGTTTTTCGATATATTTTTTCTTGTGATAATATGATTTGAGTAATTTAGGCACGTTTTCTTGACAAAGCAATTGCGAAATGTTCCCATCGAAAAGGAGTGATAATGAAATGATATTAAAAGGGATGAAATTTTTTCAAATGTATACTAACGTAAACATCTTGAAAAAAAAATGGATGATATAGAATAGTTTTTTCGTTTAGAGGGAGAAACATCGAAACATCTGGGCAATAGATTTGAATATCTTTGAGCAGATTTGTTTCAAGAATATTTCGAAAGATTAGGTGTCAAGGTTCGTCGCACAGGGTAGGTTTTTCTTACTGAGTCTTGTAGAGTCATTATGTATCCGAAGGAACGCTGTCACCTTGATGTAAATAATCTGAGAATCGAAAGCATAGTAGGCCATGTTTAATTACATGAACGTTCTTCTCAGTTTCAAGGACCCGTCCGTAGACATAAAACCTCAGGGGTTTAATGATGAATAGGATACATGGTGGCTTCAGCTAAGTATGATTATGAAACATATACTCAATTAAATTGTCAATTTAGAGAAAAGAACGATGGAGGGATAGATCTAGAAGTAGAGATATGTACATTTGAAATTGGGATGCAATGCAAAGCTTATTTTAATCAGTACATAGGTATTTAATTAATAATAGATGTTCTAACTTATATATTACAAATACTTAACCATTTTTCATTTAAATAAAGACCACATTGACGCATTTAAGACCATCGTGCGAGAACGTGGCTATGATATCGGCGTTTTTGTAGGATTTTTAGAGAAAAGAATTTCGTTGGGGGCGTATATATCGGCTACAAAATCGGATCGCATTATTGTTACTACTTATAAAAGAATGTGCCGAGATGTTCTTGATTTTATCTTTAATCTATTAAATCAAGAATCTCGTGCCTTAGAAGACAAATGCAAATTATAAGTTAGTTTTTATTTCCTTTACACTGCAGAAGAGTAACACAAAACCTTAGCGACTTGTTTGACTTGTACTTACTAATATCAATAAAAATTTTTTTTACGACTCTTACTATGTTAAACTGCTGTTGGCTTTTTCATAATAAACAAATATAAAATTATTACCATAGTAATAAAAAATAATTTACTATCGTGACCCGAATATCTCGTGATCGTTATTTCAACCTCTACTGAGGAAGCCTAAATAAAAAAATATATACCCTTGTTTAATACGGGCCCGTGAAGCATATTGATATGATAGAATTTTTTTCAGCAGAGTTAACACGGCCAATAAAATTTTAAATATGCGTTTTGCCAACTATTAGTTCGAATTTTTGTAGACTCTTATGAACCTGTGTTGTATGTATGTGGTTATATTAAAATAGCGCACGAATATTGTTTATTGGTATTTCTTATTCCTTATCCATAGCCCTTATTCTAAATTGCTCGACAAAAAATAAAATCCACAAATTTAATACTAGGAGCTGGTTAAAGTTCGATATAACAATAACTTCAATGGATTTTTCAATGTATAAATTTTCAGGGCAACTACATTTTAAAATGAGTCCTTTGTTTGTATAACCAGTATGTCGACATAGAATCCGAACATTGAGAAAGAAGAAAAAAAGAAAAGAAAGCGAAAATACCCAAAAATTAGTGTTTAAATCGACCTTTGTGGACTAATAAAAAATAACGGGGATGAAATTTTCATATAAGAAACTCCAACTTATCACTAAAACTCACAACCCTAACAGCCAACTTCCTAATCCTAAACTTCTATTTTTGCGTAGTTATTTACAAAATTTTATTTCTTTTTTGGTTTGCGTTACCCGCGCAACGAAAAGTACCACTCGCCACGATTTTATATTCACACCAGGCTGGATATTAAACTTTATTAGATTGCTTAAAATAGATGCGTAGTATACATCGGTGCAATTGATGTATGAATTAACTAGTGATTTGTAGCGTCAGCCGGTGGTTTCCCACCCGTATAAAGCGGGCCAGCTGTCGACACGAGGGTTTGTGGATAGACTAGCGATGCATACCATTGGCTGGCGGTTTCCCACCTGCATAATGTAGGCCGGCCGTAATCACGAAGGATTTGCAAAAAGGGAGGGTAGCGGTAGGGAGAGCTGCCAGTCAGCCTGAGTTTATATCAGTTGTTCTTGTTCTGTCCTAACGAATTTAGGTTATATTAGTATCCGCGCCATAATATCCTAAATCAGTAATTCATTGAATTCATACTCGTCTTTTCCACTTGCATGTACCGGATTTCCTGTTACTATCTGGATTTCCATGTGATTGTCAATGCGTGATGCATCAGTGCTTAGATTGCCTTTTCGATCTGTTGACTTAATGTCAACTCGAACGACGTACAGTACATATGCCATATGATGCGAATGTATAGTATTTAAATATAGGTTAGGATGACCAGATTTACTACATTCAACATTTCAATAAAATTAATTACTCTCATATAGCGCCTAATGTCTTTGATCTAAAAAGTCAAATACAAAAGGCGATACCTCATCAGATATAATTACTCAGCTCACCGATGCTTTTAATCAACTGAACTTTATCGAATGTCAAAAATTTGCAGATATGAATGATCCAGATGGAACTTTCTGGTGTGGTTATTGTTACGAATATGGAATTGAAGTTGAAAAGGATGAAAACAAGGCATTTATTCATTATCAAAAATATGCAGAGATGAATAATCCTATAGGAACGTATCAAGTTGGAATTGTTATTATTTAGGAATTGGAGTTGAAATGGATAAGCATAAAGCGTTTATGCATTATTTAAAATCAGCCGAAGCTGGTAATTCTATGGGAGTCTGGAAAACCGCTGTTTGTTATTATTACGGAATTGGTATAGAAATGGATTATGTCAAATGCAGTGATTGGCTTGAAAAGTAAGTTATTTGTAATTTTCGTTAATAAATTTGAAAATAATAATTCTTTAGAACTATTTGATGCTTTAGGGAGTAAGTATAATAAAAATTATAATAGATATAAAATTCTAATATGACTTAAAATTATTTTATCCGCGTTAACTTAATCTAAGTATTTAAAATAAGCTATTCAAGTTCGTGAATATTCATATTCATACTGTATTTACCTTCATTTATTTAGTCAGTGAGTATAAAGAGCAATTATTGATCTAAGTAATTAAAAATCTATTCAAAGTTCATGAATATTTATTATTTTATTCGCATTAATTTTAGTCCGTGAGTATAAAGAATATTTATTAATCTAAGTATTTAAAATAAGCTATTCAAGTTAATGAAAATTTACTATTTAATTTCGTTCTATTTGCGTTGGTTTTAGCAGGTAAGTATAAAGGACGTTATTGATCTAAATATTTAAGACAAGCTATTCAAGCTCATATTTATTTTCGTCTTATTCACGTTAATTTAGGAAGTGAGCGTAAAAACATTCATTAATCTAAGTAATTAAAAATATGTTATTCAAAATTCATAGATATTTAAATATTTTATTCGCATTAATTAGTTCGTGAGTATAAAATCTAAGTATAATAACTATTCAAGTTCATGAATATTTCTTCGTTTATTTGCGTTAATTTAGTGAGTGAGTATAAAGAACATAGTAATATAAATATTTAAAATAAGTTATTAAAGTTCATGAATATTTCTTATTTAATTTTATTTTAGAACGTGAGTATTAAAAAAACATTTATTTGACAAATTAAAATGAAATCGGATTAAAATGAAATATTAACTAACCTTAATATGAAAATACATATCGTAAATTTTTGGAGTTAATTTTCATTTTTGAGGGTTGGATAGAATTTAGGGTTATATTTAGTACAAAAAGTATATGTGGGTTTTAAGGTTAAATAGAATCCCAATTTATCTTAATCTGATTTCATTTTAATCAAAGTATTTAAGATAAGTATTCAATTCATAAGTATTTACTATTTAATTAATTCTAGACTGTGAGCATATTAATCTAGACATTTAAAATAAGCTATTCAAGTTCATGAATATTTACGATTTAATTTCATTTTATCCGTGCAAACTAAGTTTGTGAGTATAAAGAACATTTATTAGTCTGCGTATTATATAAATTAAGCTATTATGTTTATAAATATTTACTACTTAATTTATTCTGTTAATTTAGTGGGTGAGTATAAGAACATTTATTTTAATCTAAGTATTAAAATAAGCTATTCATGTTTAGGAATGTTTACTATTTTATTCGCGCTAATTAGTCGGTAAGCATGAAAATACTAATTAAAATCGTCGCATTAATAATTTGAAATAACTTCTAAAAATGGGACACAATTGATGATTTGAAGAGATTCTGGCAAAGGAAAATGTGCACATTGCAATGAATATAATACACGGCATGCATGGTGTCAGACAAAACAATTCAAGGATGGACAAGTAGAAATAAGAAGATTGATGATGTTTCAACTCAGAATTCTTAAATATGAAAAGATGATTGAATGGATTCCATTTGACAAGCTAAATCATATTAAAAAAATTGGCCAAGGAGCGAAGAAATTAAGAAAGGCAATAGCTATTCCTATTCCTATTCCTATGTGAGAACACGTGAACCATTTATCACAGTTGCACTCCAAACCTTGTCTGATTCTAAGAAAAATTCTCACGATTTTTTGAAAGAAGTAAGTTAAATCAGTATTCATCGTATAGTTTAATAAACACATATTAAACTAATTTATTTATAAATTATACACCTCACCCACCCCAAGAAATTTTCCCCGCACGTGATGATCATCCGATTTGTGTAACAACAACGCCAGGGCAGCAAATCTTACGTTTTTGATACACCTGCACATACTTTTTTGATACTGATCGACATGCAGATCCCGGTAAAAATA